ACAGTTTTCCAGCTCAAATTCTGACAAAATTGTATCATGTAGACCAATACTCCCACAAAAGAGGCACTCCCACGCTCATGGAGAGTCTCTGCTCCCAGGATCTTCTTCAGTTTCACCTTATAGTATAGAAAAGGCAATATTGATGGCTCTGATGGTGAAGGTGACCATAAGTACAGCAATTGCAGCCAAGGTGTGCTCTTTCATGCGTCTAAGCCTCCTGGCTAAGTTCTGAACATAAATCATATTATTACGCAGCATCTTGTCCTGTATCATATGCAGATTATGTTCATGTTGCCTATAAAAAATTAAATATGTAACCCCTCTCCTCACTGCAACTTGTCCAACTTGACCATAAGTGCCCAAATTTGGTGGGAGTCTGCTGAGCCCCTCCCTCCCACAGTATCCCAAGTCTCTCCTGACCTCTGGGTGTGGCACGTTCTTTGTTAGTTTCTGAACCGTCTGATGAGACCATGTACCACAGGTTGCCCCTGGTCACAGTAACTGCCAGATAACAGCATGTCTGTGGTGAGTCCCTCCTTGATCTGAGTATTACCTAGGTTTTGAACTGCGTTGCATTCCTGAGTCTCTCCCAGCCTTCAGTGTGAGTTGTGAGAGCTCCCGGTGGTTACTGGCTCGAAATGAGCACAGAAGTTTCTCTGACTGTTCCTACTGTACTTATGTTTTGTTTTTCATTAAAAGCTCATTTGAGGGGCTGGGGATTTAGCTCAGCGGCAAAGCGCCTGCCTGGCAAGCGCAAGGTCGTGAGTTCGGTTCCCGGTACCGGAGAAAAACCAAAAAAAAAAAAAAAAAAGCTCATTTGGATTATCTGTTCTTTTCCCCGATATGGCATTCAGAACGTGACCTATTTTACACTTTCTTCTGTGTTACTTTCCTCTTGAAATTTATTGATTCATTTATTTTTTAATCTGGCTAAGTCCTGGACATGGATCTTATCATTACTCATCAGTTCATACTACTGTGACATGCAGATTACACTGAGGGCAGCGTGCTTTGTCTCATATGAGAAATGAGACCATTGTGTTTGCTGTTTTGGAGACCAGGTTCTGTCTCAGCGTTGTCACTTCCAACACCCTTTGGGAGGAGTGTCTTCCAGATCATGCTGTGGATGGAAGCAGCTGCTGTCCTGGCCTCTGTTTCCAAAGCTGCGCTCAACCTGGCAGGTATGAGCTGGATGAGGCAAGGCTGGGTGGGGACACTGGTAGATAATCTGTGTTAGCCTATTTTCACATGATCACATTTTCCAGAATACTTTTTCTAGTGAAATATTAATACAGAAATAACTTTGTACATTTCTGTATCACATCTACAGGACAAAGTTATTTGGAGTGTTTTGCTAATACAATTGTGTGTGATCCACAAACTCTGGAGGTGGCTGGATGGTTGCCCTCATATTTGTCTCTTTCTGATGCTCCATGTGAATTAAACGCATGAGTGGATCCTCATGAATGCAGCACTTTCTTGTATTACAGCTCTGGAGATCACTCTTCTGCTCTAAGGAAGATTTTTCAGTTTCAGGTAAAGACCCAGGGGCCCCCTGACATCCTGAACGTTGTGTAAATGTAGAGCATATGCACAGATCTCCCACCTCAATCCTTCAGGCTTGTACAGCCACAGTTCCCTAAGCAATGGTAAAAATAATGTAGTTCTATTCCCTCCGTTTACGGAAGATTGAAACATGCTACTGGGCCCATTTTTCAAATTTTCTGCCAGACTTAATTTTTAAAAACAGAATGAAAACAAAGCATCAATTTTGCAGTAATAATATGAGGAAACATGTTTATGATATATGCTTTGCTTTTTCAAATATTTTTCATATGTTTTCCTTAAAGGTTCTATGTACCAATTGAATGGTATTTCTCTAAAATAGTATGAGATTATATTTATAAACTACATGAAATAGATGTGCAGTAAATTAAACTTTCACATTTCTAAGTGCATGAAAGACCAAGGGGACCACTGAGGAGTGTGCTTAGTTGCATCCCATGATCCACAAGAGTCCAAGAGCCCTGGCAGTCACCTGAGTGTTTTCTGATGTTGCCCCTCAGCAAATAACAGAAACAATCTTTGGGGTGGGGATTTAGCCCAGTGGCAAAGCACCTGCCTGGCAAGCACAAGGTCGTGAGTTTGATTCCTGGTACCGGAAGAAAAACAAAAACAAGCAAACAAACAAAAAAAGAAACAATCTTAGTTTGCTGGCTGTATAAATGGAGAAAACTTTTCCTTCCCTTTATCAATACTTTGGAGAAGATTAAGTTTTTCTAATTCTTCCTAGGGAATTTCAACTTTATGAATCAAAATTTGAATAGAATTTAGACCAAGTCCTCACCTCTGAAGACTTCAATGTGATCATTAGTTCATGGTACATAAATATTTCAGGTTCCCCTCAGTCACTTATAAAGCATTATGTTCTGGGTAACTGTGAAAACCTAGTCTTAATCTATGATGTTCAGAAGATTACTCTGAGAACGTTTCTGCACCTATGTTACCATGTTAGGGTCCTCAAATTGTATCTGTTAAAAGACTTGCTGTAAACCAAATCACAGCATCACAAGGAGATTTCCTACAAGTTGGTCATCACCAAATTCTTCAGTATAAAATTCATACCTGAGCCCATAGATATGCAGAAATGTTCCTTCTTATTTGAGAATAGGGTAAAGTTGTGGGCTAATGGTGAACCACATTGAACTTTGTAATGTTAGTCATTCATTTAATGAAAACTTCAGGAAAGAATCATAACAATTTCCTTAAAACTTTGTTGTATTCCTTATTCTCATTCCATATGCTTGTGTTGGCATGAAAAGAAATCTGTAATGTGTGATCCTGATCAAAATTACACTGTGGTGAATGAGTTGCTGGAGACATTTGTTGGTTTTTGGTGGGGAGGGGGCTTTTTTTCATTTTTTGCATTTTTGAGACAGGGTTTCACTATGCAGTTTAGGCTGGCCTTGAACTCATTTTATAGCCCAGTCTGGCCTTGAACTTGCAGTAAACCTTCTGCCTCAGCCTCTCAAGTATTGGGATTACAGGAGTGTGCCTCCACGGGCAGTTGATACACAGCTTTTATTGTATGGGTTTCCAAAATATATGAGCTGCATAATTGGAAATTTCCAAAATTGCGGTTTTAATTTCTTGGGTCTCTTTAGCCGGTATTATTGAGTGTAGTATTTTGTTATTCATTTCTCTTTGGTCTTTTCAGTACACCAGATAGATTATTTTATACACTATATCAAATTTCTCAAGGTATGTGTATGATGAACTATGGAGTAATAAGAATTATTGACACTCCACACCTATGCCGTGCTTGGCATATGTGTACACATAATATCTCCAGGAAAGAAAGGATATAATTATCCAGATTTGACAGGTCAGGCAACTGTTGCTCAGACATGCTCATTGAATTTTCTTTTTTTAAACTTAGATCTTATTGGTACAGTTTAGATATACATAATAACCACATTCATCATAGAGCCTTTGTACTTGTACATGATATAACTTCCTTTTTGCCCCATTCACCTATGCTCCCTTCAACCCCTTCTCACCTCCCCATTTACAAATCTTTGTTCCATGTTTTTCTTCTTTTTTCATATTTTTACTTTTCCTTATTTTCCTTTCCCTCTTTTCTCTCCCTTGCTCCCATCCAGATTTGAACATTTTCCTCCTATTTCACAATACCTACTATATATTTTGGTCCTTATTTACACTCTCAGGTTCTCACACCACAGAAACAATGTGGGTAGTAATTACACACATATGTCCAATTTATCACACTTAAGAGTATGTACACAAGTTTCATCCATTTTCCTAGAAATTCGTTGAATTCTTGACAATAGCCATTCTTTCTGAAGGGAGCTGGAATCTCACTGTTGCTTTAATTTAGATCTCCTGAATGCCCAGTGATTTTGAAGGTTTTTTCATATATTTATCTACTGTTTGTATGTCTTCATCTAAGAGGTACGTAGCTCCACTGATGCCCATTTTTGGACTGGGTCACTAAATATGCGGGTGTGATTCTTTTTAGTTTTTCATATGTTCTTGATATTAATCCTTTGTGTGAGGAACAGTTGACAAACATTTTTCCCAGATGTGCACTACATTTGTATATTGAATTCTTGAGATGAATATTAACTAGTCATGGGGCATCGTGTTTACATATTGCAAGATTCAATTTTCTTAAAAAATTTTAAGGATTTTTTAATCTATTATTTAAGATATGGACCTGTATTTTTCTTATTGAAATATATGAAATATCCTAAAAAGGATATTTGCAACCTAAGCCTAATAACTGAAAAAGGTTTTGACAACATAGTCATGCTTATCTCATAAAACAATTATGTATATTTTTCTGTGAGAGAGAAATCCTGCATTTGATAAAAGTCAGACCAGAGATGTAAACTGGAGTCTCTTGTGGCAGAACCTGCTGAGCAACATTTGTTCTCTGAGGGTTTGTTCTGAGAATAAATCAGAATATAGATAACACTAATATAACGTAACTGTGCATGGCTGACTCGTCCACAATTGTTCCATGGGAGGAGCTTATTTCCATGTAGGTACAGGAAATTCCCTTTTCCTAATTTTCACTAAAAAGTATAGAGTCCTTAGTATTTACCCAGAGCTTCCTCCACTTTCTGGAGACAAAAGAGCACATAGGACATTGTGCCTGATTTTGAAAACTAAAAGTTGAGACAAAAACAAGGAAATATCTTCCATTCTACATGAAAGTTTCTTTGCAGGGCTACTTTGGAAAACCAGAAATAGATTCATATCCAGCCACCAATGGGAAAGCCTGGGATGGTGGGAGGACAACAGCAATTCCAGGAGGCTGTGAGGTAGACCTGAGTTCTGAAGGTGGGAAGGATGAGTAGGGAGAAATCCACATGTTCTGGTGAAGCCAGTGTTGGTTGAGATGATGATGATGGTGATATTTCTGATAAATAATTTTCTTGCTTTTCTCCACAGACATTTATTGTTTGTTTAACCCCATGAAGATGAATAAAAAGAGAAAATTTCCCAGTTATACTGCCTTAAGAAACACAGTTTTCTTTGAAATCACCATTGGGATCTCAGCCAACACTGTCCTACTTATGTTCCACATCCTCACATTTCTCCTCAAGCACAGGCCCAAGCCCCTGGACCTGACTATCGCTCAGTTGGCCCTAGTCCACCTGGTGATGCTGGTAACTGTGGGCTTTGTAGCTGCAGACACTTTTGGATTTGAGAACTGGGGGAATGACCTCATGTGTAAAACAGTTATCTATGCAAACAGGTTGACGAGGGCCCTCTCCATCTGTACCACCTGCCTGCTGAGCATCCTCCAGGCCATCACCCTAAGCCCAAGAAATTCTTGTCTGGCAAAATTCAAACATAAATCCTCACATTGCTACCCATGTGGGCTTGTCTTTCTATGGATCTTCAATATGCTCCTGAATGGTCGCTTCTTAGTCTCTATTGGTGCCACCCCCAATGTGACCTCTCACAGTTTCGTGTTTATCACTGAATCCTGCTGTCAGTGGCCCATTAGTTACTTGTTCAGGTACATATTTCTCTCACTGGTGAATGTTCAGGATATCTCCTTTATAGGGCTGATGGCTCTCTCAAGTGGGTACATGGTGAGTCTCTTATGCAGGCACAAGAGGCAGTTTCAGCACCTTCACAGCACCAGCCTTTCTCCAAAACTATCTCCAGAAGAAAGGGCCACCTGGACCATCCTTCTGTTCATGGGTTTCTTTATGCTCATGTACTTTTTGGACTGTATAATTTTCTTATCCTCTGGAATACTGTTGAAAAATGACCCAGTTCGTCATTCTGTACAGTTGCTTGTGGGCAGTGGGTATGCCACAATCTCTCCATTTGTGCTAATGAGCACTGAAAAACGGATGATCAGGTGCTGAACACCCAGGCAAGAAAAGACAGTAAATGCTCAGCGATAGTAATTTCCCTTCGTATAAAGCAAGTACCTTAAATTTCTGTTAGATCACTGATATATATGAAGTTGTATGTTTAATTTGGAACATGTATTTTGATGTATTAGGTGACAAGTACATAATAGATAATTTAACACTGTAACTCTTTAAAGAAACAGAAGCTTCTGTTCTCATCTTATTCATAGAACTTGAACTCTTACCCAATGTCACACTCTAAATGACAGGCGTGATATGTCTTGATTCCTCTTTATTCCCTTTCCCCTCCCCTCCCTTCAACCCCTGTTCCCCTCCTCATTTCAAAGCTTTGTTTCCATTTTATCCTTTTTTTCTCATATTTTGTTTTCCCTTCCTTTCTTTTCCCTTCCCACTTCCCTAGTTCTCCTTTCCATCTGCAAAAACTTTTGCCCATTTCATATCTGTTATACATTTTGGTTCTTATTTACACTTTCATTTTCTCACACCAGAGACAATGCTATATTTACATATGTGTGTCTGATTTCTTTCAGTTAAGAGTATGGTCTCTAGGTACATCCATTTATCTATAAATATTTCAAGTTTATCCTTCTTTATGACTGAGTAGTACCCCACATCTTGTGTAACCATTCATCAGTTGACGGGCATTTGAGTTGTTTCCAAGATTTAGCCATTAAAACTGTGCTGCTACAAACATGGGCGTGCATGTATCTCTGTGTTATGATGCTTTTAATTCTTTTGGGAAGATAGCTGAAAAGGAAATAGCTCGGTCAAATAGGACCTCTCATCCTAATTTTTTGTGGAATCTGCACACTGATTTCCACAGTGGGTGATGCATCACTCTACATGCCCACCAACAGTGGAGAAGGGTCCCTTTCTCCACACAACCACTCCAGCATCCGTTGTTGGTTGATTTCTTGATAACAGCCATTCTTTCTGGAATGAGATGAAATTTCATTGGCATCTCTCACATGACCAGTGATGTTTAACATTTGTTCATATATTTATTTGCCATTTGTACTTCTTCATCTGAAAAGTGTGTTGTACCTCAGATATCCATTTTTGGATTGTGTCTTTAAATTAGAATGGTTCTGATATTTCAGTTCTTTATATGTTCTCAATATTAGTCCTTTGAGGAACAACTCATGAATTTTTTTCCCACACAGGTAATTAAAAGATAGGAACCGCTCATGGACGGTAAGTTCTACTCAGATAAGCAAATGCTTTAAATTTCTGTTGGCTCCCTGAAATATATGTAGTTACACTTTTTCTTTCAAGCACAATTACTTAGATGTACATGGGTGACAAGTAAGTAATAGATAATTTAACACTATAACATTTTTAAAAAAACAGAGACGTCTGTTTTAATCATATTCACATTAAACTGGAATTCTTACTGAGTGTCAAACTCTAAAGAACAGCATGTACATCACTAATTTTGTGGGGATAGACCATGGCCAACAGAAAGCAAGAAGAATTTATAACGCAACAAATTCACAAAGTAAATTTTGATGGGCATGTTGGATTTATCAATTTATATTCTATTGTTATAAACCATTAATTTTATGCTTTTAGGAATAAAGCAAGGATTCTTCAGAAATCCTAATGAAAATCAAACTCAAAAAATAACATAAATCATCAATAAACATGTTGATGACTTTAATAACTAATTTAATGGCACGTGTACAATGCATGTGTAATATAGTATTTTATCAAGTAACACTTTAACAATGGCTATGTACATACAAGTTTGGAAAATTCTCCCCCAATCTTATAACGTTATTTTGCTGTTAATTCACTTTCATAATTTAATAATATCAGTGAATTACAACAAGTGGTAACCAGGTTAATTATTCATTTCTTGGGAAAATCTATAAAATTTTATGTAGATCAATAATATATATATATTCAAACCTGAAACTACTGAGATGCAGAATATACTATAAATTTAAATCTTTAATGCTTTGTTTGAAATCATATCTGAAATAATGAATTTCAATTGTCTTTATGCCTTTTAATAATATGACAATTACACTATCAAATTTTGTTGTTTTTCTATTTTAAAAGTTGAATGCTATGAGAATATTAGAAGGAACACAAAATGCACACACGACATATTCAGAATTCCACACAGTGTTACTTTTTTGCATTTATTGTCAGTGTCTTTTGTGCCTGAGGATCTTTCTCCCTAACTTTTATATCAAAGTTAGCTGTAGGTAGTAGGAAATACTAGTCAATGTGAAATCCCCATACTATGAAATATGGATAAAGTCAAACATTTGTGTAAATACATAGAATGTATAAAAGAAGAAGGGTACATCCAAATTCCAAATATGAAAAATTATGTGCAACTAGAATATTATTACAACTGCAAGTCTGTACTGCTCTTGAGGCAGTCAGTGATAACACAGGAAACTGAAATTTATCTGATGTCAAAAGGCAAGTACAGAATTTTCAACAACAGATGGGCCAGAAGAACTGAGAGACAACACTAAGCATAATCTTTACTAAGATGTGGTGAGATCATGAATGGCAAATGAGACAATAAAGTTAATTATTCTTGCCTTGGATTTCGTAGTGTTGAATTTTCCTTCAAGCATGCTTGGGTTTCAAAATTAATACAAGCATAATATAAAAACTGGGCTCTTATTTCACATCATAAGATCATGAGGCTTTGGAGAGACGTCTAGAGACAAGCCATAATAATAATGAGAAACACGAATTGTAAGTAAAGAGCAAAGTAAAAATACATAACAAGAAGAACAGAGACAGATATTTGTAATTGGGAAGTGAATCAAGAGATTGTTGGTGGGTGGTAAGGAGGAAGAAAAAGAGAAAACAGGAATTAAGATGGGTTATGTACATGTAACAATTGTCTTGTAAACATCATGCATGGCAAACATGAAATAATGGAGAGCAAATTGCAAAAAAATGAGAGGAAAGTCAGAACAATCAATTCTAATCAGAGCAATTATCAAAATGAATGAAACTACCCCATTTAGAGTGACTAAATTCCAAACAAGAACTAGAAATTGTCATTCACTGCTACCAAATATGTAAGGGAGTAGAGATATTTGCAGAGATTTTGTGACAATTTCTTGCAAAATATAATATATTCTCACTACAAGAGCTCCAAACCATGCTCCTGGGAATGTAGCTAAATGAAATGACAATATAAATATAACAAATCCTGCACAGGAAAGATTACACCAAGTTGATTCATAAGTGGCAAAAGTTGAAAGCAATGAAGATTTCCTTCCGTAGACAAATGCACAAATATACCGCAGAACACGCAAATAAATGAAGTACTATTCAGCACTGTCAAAGACAAGAACTATCAAATCAAGAACATAAAAAGATGAAGTCATATTTCATGGAAATAATTTGAACAAACTACATAGTGTATTATTGCAAGTATAAGATATGTGAATAAGTCAAAAGTATGGACAGTGTATAAAAGTCAGTGCTTTCCTGGGGTTAGCATTGGAGATGTCACCACGTACAGAAGAGTGGTAGGGAAGGTAAACTACGTGATGGTAGATGTATGTCATTACACCATCTTCAAAAAGTTATGAAAGGTACAAAAGCAAGAATATGGTTATGTGTAAAGTATGGACTTTGGAAGAATGATGTAGGTTCACTGAATTAAAAAAATAAGTATAAAAATATGGCTGGATATTGCTAGAGGTAGAGGCAGTGCTCAGATGGACCAGGCACTTAGGAAATCTCTGAACCTATCCCATAATTTCTGTATGATCCTCAAACTACTCTATAAATAAAATTTATTTTTTCAAGAGAAGGATAAATAAAGAGTTTATCAGAGAAAAACTGAGGGAGTAGCCTGCCAGTATACCTACATAGAAAGAAGTGTTGAGTTCTTCTGAAAGAATGCTGGAACTAGCCGGGCAAGGTGGCACATGCCTGTAATCCCAGCACTCGGGAAGCTGAGGCAGGAGGATCATTGAAAGTTTGAGACCAGCCTGGGCTACAAAGTGAGCTCAAGGCCAGCCTGAACTGCATAGAGAGACTCTGTCTCAAAAAGGAAAAAAAAAAAAAAAAAAAAAAAAGAATGCTGGAACTTAGGACATATCTTAGGGGAAGCACATCCACCTAGCAAGAGCAATGCCCTGGGTTTCAGAAAGAATGTTGATTATATTGACTAGAAATTTATGACTTCATGAATAAAGGCAGAACCTAAGAGAAGGAATAAATATGAAGCTTTGCCATTTTAATACTGATTTTAATATTGTTAGTAGATTTTAATATTGTTAGTAGATTTAACAGAAATGAGTTTGTCCAAAATTTTAAAATCCACACTGTATTTATGGAATAACTATAGGTAAGAGAAATTACTGATAGCAATGATTCTAAAATCAGGAAGGGCCTAGGAATACTGGCAGGAAACTGCCCTACCAGTGAACTGTTATGGTGTTATTTGAAAGTAACTTTCATTGGTTGTAAATGAATATTTCACATTATAGGGCTACTAATAAAACAAGTAAAAAAATTAATAATAATTGATAAGTAATAAAACAATATAAAGTGCTTGATTAAATTACATAAGACAAAAAAATGAATAGAAGAGAAAACAATGAATATCACAACTATCAGTTGGTAGATATTCTCCCAATAACAATGAATATAACAACTATAAATTGGTAGATATACTCCCAAGCTTTCTGTTTGTGTATTGCTTTCTCCAACTGTGACCGCTAGGTTCATGTTGTAGCAACTAATATACTTTCCTTCAAACATTTTTCACTCAAGAAGCCCTCAAACCTGGGCCGAGGTCCCAATTAGGTGTAAGAAAGGCAACACTGTGAGCCAGACTTCTGGACAGGTCATTGAAGGGGAATAGATAACCACAATTCTCTAAGAATGGGTTGGAGCTGTCCTTGGTACTGCCAACTTGTAGGTGTTCATGAGGTTGGCAGCACAGAGGATAAGAGATTACTCAGAGTGGATGTCCAGCTCAACAACGGACAGCGGGGCTG